CAGCTCATTCCGCCACTTTTTGACTTTCATAAACGAGTTAGATTTAAAAAACGGTCCCTTTTTGTTCATGCATAAATACATATCTTCAGCAGCCCAGAATATTTATCAAAAACACTCAATTTAAAATCTACACATTTTGGAGAAGCTGTTTAGCCATATCTGAGTTTTTTTTTCTGGGCGGATGACGAAAAATATTGTTACCTGCAAAAGAATCGACCAAGAGTAACAACTTACATCATTCGAAAGTTGTAGGCGCATAGAATTTGTTTCGATAGGGGCCACCCGGAAAATATCAAAAAAATCGCAGTTTCACGGTTTTTAATGGATGTGGCCAATTTGTAACCAAATATCAGGTAAATAACTAATATAGCCAACCATGCCAAATTTTAGAGGAAAAATGGTAAATTGAACCTCTTACTAAGACAAATGATCAGATTGAGTTTTCAGTTTTAAAAGGAATGTTTTAAAAGGATTGTGTTGGAGCATAGAGTATGTCGTCTAAATCATCGTCAGCCGTCTCCCTTTGGTCTGGTTGTTCTCTGGGGGTCAATGAAGGAGCCGTCAGCCGTCTCCCTCTGGTCTGGTAATTCTGTGAGATCAATGTAGTAGCCATCAGCCGTCTCCCTCTGGTCTGGTCGTTCTGTGGCGTCAATGTACGAGCCGTCAGCCGTCTCCCTCTGGTCTGGTAGTTCTGTGGGATCAATGTAGTAGCCATCAGCCGTCTCCCTCTGGTCTGGTCGTTCTGTGGCGTCAATGTACGAGCCGTCAGCCGTCTCCCTCTGGTCTGGTAATTCTGTGGCGTCAATGAAGGAGCCGTCAGCCGTCTCCCTCTGGTCTGGTAATTCTGTGGGATCAATGTAGTAGCCATCAGCCGTCTCCCTCTGGTCTGGTCGTTCTGTGGCGTCAATGTACGAGCCGTCAGCCGTCTCCCTCTGGTCTGGTAGTTCTGTGGGGTCAATGTAGGAGCAATTAGCCGTCTCCTTTTGGTCTGATCGTTCTGTGAGGTCATTGTACGAGCCGTCAGCCGTCTCCCTTTAGTGTGATCATTCTCTGGGGTCAATGTTGGTCTGGTACGAGCCTCTGGGCTGTTAGTCAGCGGTCTCCTGGTTGATGGCAGATTATCGTAGATATGTCGGCAGGTCTCCGAATTGAACGCAGACTTCGAGGTGTCTTTTGCAACCTATTTCTTTGAGACAGATTTTACAATTACACGATTCATACGCAGTAAAACCTCATTCCGCCTCGACGTCATGCTTTTCCAGTTTAAGGTTTAGGTCAAGCTTTTCTTATAAGGTTTAGGAGCTTAGTAAGCGATTTCAAAAAATTGAGCCACTGATAGCAGTTAGATTTAATAAAAGAGGTCTTTAAAAACGGGGGGAGCAATTTTCTCCAGACCGACTTCCAAAATTTTTGGAAAAAAAAACATTATTGTTTTGTACTGCTCGAACTCAGATACGAAACAACTATCGAGTTTTCCGGGTTTGGGGAATTTATATCAGTTCTTTCGATTGTCACATTTGATACCATTTTCTCATAGTTAGGAAACAAAAAGGTGAGATGTTGTCAACAGCAGCCGCCAGCCTTATTCCTCCCTTTACATTTCCTTCATCGAGCTGGCTGCTGAATAGCTCTATTCTCGGTTCGAGATCTGCCTGGGGCGGGCTTGACCTTTGAGGAAGATGTTTAGGCAAAGAATCAATATTGGTTCTGATTTTTTTTTGTTTATTACAGAGCTCATAGCTCTCGTTTGCTTACGACCACTTCACCTTCAAGAAAAAACCAGAAAGAAGTCAGAAAAACTTACAATCATTTGGAACAAATTTTTTGCATGTCGAAATTTTGACATTTTTCATCGTATATTTTTTGTAAGGATGTTTTGCCAAATATATGAAAAAAGAGCTTTTTTCGAGCAAATATCAACTGTTTCCTTTAAATTTTCCCTGGAAATCTTAAATTCTTATACATATTTGGAAATCTCTTCATGTTCGATTATTTCTATTTTATGAGTTCAATTATATGAGAAGCGAAAAATTGAGAACTGTTCCAACAGCTATCCGTATTGTCTGGTATTCAAGAAACAACGTTTTTTGCGGTTAGTTCACAATAATTGCAAATTTATCTATATTTTCTGAAAATTTGATGTTTTTTACATATGGTTGAAAAAATTAAGCTCCGTTTTTTTTTGATAAATAAAACATTGCCTAATTATTCTTATTTGTTCAGAAATTAAATAATGAACACTTGAAAAAATAAAAAACTTCTGAAAAATTTACTTGAAAAACTACAAAAATTTCAGCAATTTTGAGGTGATTTGAAAGGATTTTGAATTTTTTTTCCTTGAATTTTTTTGATATTTGATTAGTCATTTTTTAGAGAAACAACATTTGCTAGTTTATTTCTGTAGTGATACCATCTTTGTTGGTTTTTTGGTCTCAATAAGTTATATTTCAAATCTGCTATACGTCGTTGTAGTTAATTTTTTTTAAAAAAATCAATAAAAATTTTTTTTTCGTTCACTTCTTTTCTTATCACATACTGTGGTTGCCACAAAATCTGTCCATTTCAGTTCCAGCCAGTGCCACCATAAGAAGCTTTTTTAAACAATTTTCCACCCTTTGATCTTGAAACTTGTTGTGTTTGGACGACCTGCGCGTGTTCATCTTCTATCTTAGGTCGTTTTCCAATGCAAACAATCCGCATTTTCGCAACTATTGGTCAAGAAGTTTTTGCTTCAACGCTAATTGTCTCTTCTGCTAGATGTTGAACAAAAAATCCGGGCCAAATTATCTTCAAACTTCTTGATAATATTCAATGGAATCGTACAATATCTGGTAAAAAAAAATTGGTTGAAATTTTACAAAAAAAAATACTTGAAATTGTCTCTCTTGCCCTTCATTAGAAAATCATTTTTTAAATTATTTATTATTTTCAGCTCTCATTACAAAGCCAAACTGTTGACTTTGTGAATAGTAAGCAGCTTCTGCAACAGGCCGAAAACAGACTTATCGCAGAAGCCGCAACAGTGCTATTGAAAGCGTTTCTCCAGCGAATAAATAATGGCAGAACAGTTAACTCAATGCAATCAGAACTCAGACGGTCAAATATTTTAGCACAACTGGAAAGTGACAACGTTGTTGGCAGGTATCAATTACTGACCATCAGGGTAACTGCCACAAACGGACTATAAACTGAGCTAAACTATGATAGCATAAATAAGTATATATATATGACATTCCGTCTTATTTGAAAAAATCTTAAAATGCAAAATTGATAAAATTGAAAATTGTTTTACAAAATAATATGAGTTTTAGACACTTTGCTACATTTTCTCCCTGGGCTACGTGCTCAAGTTTACGTTTTTTAAAAGTTTTGACTAGTTCGAATGTTTCTCCTTTTCTCGGTTCGATTACACCGTGTCCCGGCCTTTCTCCGATGGCTCCCCTTCCCGTTCGTTCCGAGTGATATCATCAATCATTACTGCTCCCATTTTGGACGCGGCCTTTCTCTTTCGCGTGCCTTACCTCGAGCCCGATTCCTATCGGCTTTTCGAGTCCTGACTCGAATACAACACCAGCCGTTGCTTCCTGGGTCGACCCGCTCTTTTCCTTGCCCCCTTCTCCGCATGTATCGCCAGATCGCTTTCGTGTACGCTCTCGCCCACCGCTCATTTATCCGCTTGCTTTACCGTTCCTTTGTCCACCTGCTTTCCCGCTCCTTCGTCCGGTTACCTGTCCACCGCAGAACTTCCCGCCGCCTCCGAACTTCACCGTTCGCTTTTTCGCACTTGTACCAGCTCCGCTGGATCCTTGACCCTCTTTGATCGCTTTTGCACGGACCTCAACCCCACAGGGCAGCAATGCTGGCTCGTATTCTGAATCTAAATTCTCGATCTCCCACAATTTCGGTTGATTAGTTATGCTCCGCGTAGTTGCTTTGCTAGTGCCGGCGCACTTATTCATTTCTTCCAGCTTTTTTACAGGCCACCAGTTACTTTTTTGGAATCCCGTTTTTCAGCTAAACCGTTTTTTAAGCTTAGAACTCTTCTAAGCGTAATAGTCTATTTTGATTTACTGACTACCTTTTTCCTAATTAATTTATATCTGTTGTTTTTCTCTCTTTATCGTTAAAATAAGAGTTGAGATCTTCGAGATGGTTTCTTGGTTGTTGTTTTCGTTCTACGAATAGCCTCTCCACGGGGCAACCCATCGCGTGATATGAGATTTCCCGTCAGTTTCAGCGGATGATTCTTGTTATCCTGATCGTACTCGACATCCGAGCGCATATTCCAGTTCGTTCTAGCGGGGTGTGGCGTTCTTTGCGTCCTTGGCTCGTCAGTGTC